ATGTATGCCAGTGGGTTGGGCTGGTCAGGCTCCGTGCTGCCACATGTAGCTCCCAAGATTCAGCTGGAGCTGCGCACAGCTGGGGGGAGGGGGAACTCTTCCTGCAGCAGGCCAGAAGAACCCCAAGGGCCACTGCCTGCTCCTGCTACTGTCACCCCTACCCACAAATTCTACCCACAAACCCCACCCCCCACCCACAAATCCCAAACCTACCCAACCCCACCCACAAACCCCACACCCAGTCCCCTCTCCTGCAGGCAGGAGCTCCCCTCCCTATTCACCAGCTGTCCAGTTGTGTGACATCATGACTGATGCCTCCAAATGGGTCTCCCGGATGGCATGCTGGGAGCACCACAGAGGTGGAAGTACAGAGCCTGTTTGGTCCAATCGTATGCACCCTCTGAAAGCCCACCTCCTGCCGGCTTCCAAAGGGGCAGCCACAGGTTGATAATAATTATTTTTGGGAGAGGACAGATTCACCTGGATTCTGCCCATGGGCCATATTTTGCCTGCCCCTGAGCTAGACTGTTCTCAGTGGTGACAGTTGACAGAACAAGGAGCAATGGTCACAGGTCACAGCAAGGGAATTTTAAGTTAGATATTAGGAAAAACTTTCTCACTAGGAGGGTAGTAAAGTAATGAAACAGGTTACCAGAGAGGTGGTGGAATCTCCATCTTTGGAAGTTTTAAAGACCCGACTAGATAAAGCCTTGGCCGCGATGATATAGTTGAGGGTGGTCCTGCTTTGAGCAAGGCTTTGGACTAGATAACCTCTGAGGTCCCTTCCAGCCCTAATTTTTTATGATTATATGATTTCTAAGATTCTTTTGGTATTGTTAGGTTGCTGCCTTGCCTCTGTCCTTGGGCTTTCTAGCACACTTCCCATGCATATGATCTGTCTATTATTCTTTCTTGGATTAGGACATTTGTTCCAGCTAATCAAGCCTCTAGAACCAGCACTGAACCCTGAGTTCTCAGTAGCTTTAACATATCTCCAGAGCTCCAAGATTAAAGGTCCTCTAGGTTGGCAGTTCTCTCTTCAGAGATGTAGCAAAAGCAAACAGATTTTTCAGGCCTTGTACAGGTTTGTAAACACAATTGCACTTTATACAGCACAAAGAATGTACAGCTCCAGACAAAATATAATAAAGCCTTACATACATTTCTCTATAAATCTAGCGGGTCCTCTGGGCTTAGGTCAAATTCTTTGAGGAATCCAGAATCTGCCTTCTTTTAATCACGTCTCTCTCTCTTTCTTTCTTGTCCATGTCAAATTCTGTGGTTTTGGTCTCACATGTTTATTCTTTTTTCTTCCCTCCCTATTTCCTAAGGGTCATGTTACATGTTGACCTTTAAAATTCTCAAATGTTGTCCAGTGTTAGTTTGAGTTTAGAATAATTACCAGGGATCCTGCTTTTCCCTGATAAAAAAAATCACAAATTCTCTGATAAAAACCCCTGCTGCTGCCATGGCTCAGCCCCAATGGGTGAGCCCATAGCCAGCACAGGGCCCTTGCTAGCAGTGGCAGTGGGTTGTGAGCTGGTGCTCAGCACGGGGTAAAGCAGCACCCCCCTTGACCAGCACCCCATGCTCCAGTGGCTCTAAGCTCCTGCAGGGCTGCTTGTGCCTGCTCTCCATTGCCACCATTGCCCCACGGGGTGCCGGTGATGTAGCAGAGAGGCAGGATAGCCCCACATGAGCTGCAAGTGCCTGCAACAGGAAGTGCCAGCCATGTGGGGGCGCATTTTTCCCCCACAATGAGCACCTGCTTGTTCCCTGCGGGTGAGTGCAGGGTAAGGGCTGTGTGCTGCTCCCCACCTGTACTATGGGGCTGGGGCAGGGGCACTGGGAGTGAGCGGGTATGTGGGAACCAGCAGCAGCCAGGCAGGAGTGCAGGGCCCATGCCCACATCCTAGGGCCAGCACCAGTGGGGCCCAGAGCAGGGTGGCAGAAGCTTTGGGTCCTGGCTGGGTCCTGGCTGGCAGGGGCTCTATGGAGCCAGGCCAACTCCCCACTCTCCCTGCTGGTGCAGCCCAACACGGCTCTACAGACCCCTGCCATCCCATGTCCCGCGCTTCTCCCGCCCCACTCGGCCGCACCAGCTCTGGCCCCAGGACACCGGCATAGGCCCCGCACTCCACTTCCCCCCTGCCTCTGTCACTGCTTTCCTGCCCACCCACCAGCTCCTGGCTGCATGGCTGGACCATGGGGCTCAGAAGCAGCTGGCCCAGCCCCGAGGACTGGGGCATTTGCCATGGTCCTCCCCTGCCCCCCCGCTTCTTACCTGAATTTCCCGTGCTGGTGCAGCCACAAACATGCCCACAGTCCCAGGCTGGAATGGGGGCAGGGATGGGCAGTCTCTGCTGTTGCTGCTGGGGATTCCCTTGGGTCCTACTTCCCCTGGCTCTTGTCATCTTTGACAGGATACAGAGGCAGATAACTATTAATTTTCTAAAAAATTTAGTGGCCCCGCAGGCTAGATAGAATGGCTTAGCAGGCTGGATCTGCCCCCGGGCCATATTTTGTCCACTTCTGGGCAATCTAAAGGCTACAGGTGCTAACTGAAAGACACCACATGAAACAACTTTCTGATTCTAGGATAAAACAAAACAATCATTTTCCTGGACTCATCAGATATGATGGCATCTGATGTTCTTCTCTTTTTCTTGTGTTTGTGTTTCTTTGTATGTGTAACATTGTCTCTTAATGATTCTTGTTTACTGAGTGGGAAAGCAGTGCAGATGTGAGAGGCCTTAATGAGCTATTGGGCTTTTCTTTTAGCTTTTTATGTTTGTTTTTGTTTAAAGCCAGGGTGGGGGGAAAGGGGGAGGAAATCCCTGTTTGAGTTGATCAGCATATCCACTGAAACCAGGTGAAACTAAAGCTGAGAGCTAAAGTTTAACGAATATTCATAGTCCAGGAGCACAGGGGCACAGCAAAGGACTGGAAGCCATGTGTCAGAGGCACTTCCCCAGTCCTGACCCCTGTCCCGGCTCCCTGCCTGGCCTGCCCACACTCTCCTGGCCCTCAGTCCTCTCCACCCCCCCAGCACACAGAGAGGCAGGATACAGTTTAGAACTTTATTCAGCAGCCTGTGCACCTGCAGCTGGGTGGGCATGGGGCTCTCACACCCTGAGTAAGGTGTCAATGCTGGCAACAATGCCCTCCTCAGCAGTGGGGGGCAGGGGCATGTAATGATGGCACACGTAGCCTTCCAGGTGGTGGTGAAGGTTGTGGGGCAGGCCGGGCTTGCCCCCCATGCTGTTGTATCTCAGGGTCCTGAACCAGAAATGTAGGTGTGCCTGGAGCACCAGGAGGATCCTGAGCACCTGTGCATGGCTGACTCACTATCTGAGGCTGGGCAGCATATGGCCCCCAGTGCATGTCATCGTATGTGTCAAATGTTGCAAGCTTTCACAAAAGGCTTCTGTTTCTTGCCTCTGCAGGACCAACATCTAGATATGGGGGAGAGTCCACCAATCCCAGGGGGATGTGGGCTCTGGGTTGCTGCCACCCAGTGCCAGAGCCATCGACATGAGCCAACAGTGCCAGTGGTGTACAATGTACCTGGACCCTCCTGCTCCAGCAGCTGGAGCAGTGGAGTGCTGGATATCACCTGCAGGGGCAGGGGCTGGAGCAGCCATGGTGTAAGGAGACAGGGTGGGCAAGGAGGGAGATGCTGCATGTTGCCCCTGCACTGGACACATGGCTTCTGGGCAGGGAAGTTGCTGGCAAGGGATCAGAGGGTGGGGCTGTATTTCCAAGATGGCTGTCAAGTGCTGGGAGCTGGGTCTGACTTCAACATGGCTGCCAAGTGCTGGCGGTCATGTGGCCAGAAGTTGGAGCTCTCCCTAGTGGCCACAGGGGCACATTGTAGGGCTGGAGGGACTTGGCACTAGTGCCAAGTCTCTGCTTGTGAAGACACCTGCCAAAAATCATTTGCTGGCCATTAGCTTAATGCACAATAAATTTAGTCATGCTTAAATGTGTGTGTAGATGCACCCAAAAAGGTCAAAAGGAACTTACCATATAGCCACATACACACATGCTCTCCAATTACTACAGGGTGCAATAATTTTCCTGTATACCTCTACCTATTTATGTCTCTATATTGATCATATGCAGATAGCAAATGATTTTCCTGAGTCCTGGACATTGCTTTTCAGCTTTGGATGAACATATTCTATGCCCACCAAATTTTAGTTTTGACAAAGATAATTTATATGAATAATGTTAAGAATCTCTTGCTGAATCTCAAGGCAAAAAGAATTCTGAGGTCAGCTTTTCCTGATGAAAGTATTATAAAACTGCAGGGCATTACTCTAGCATCCTTATTACCTGCTGACTAGCAAGAAATGGTCTAGGATATGTAAGATATTACATCCCTGAACTCTGGCAGTGCTAGGCAAACTTTTATAAATTAGACGACAGGTATTACCATAAACTGGCATTGTAGAGAGAAATAGATGGCAATACAAGATGATGCAAACTAATTTTGACATAATTCATAATGTATATTATATTCTTAAAATATTTAGATTATCTCGTTTCTCATTTTTATCACAATCTATGTCACAGATTTGTTAAAGGCTCTACTATAATAATAACAATTTATTCCCAATTAATACATTTTGTAGGAAAGACTGGAATTATACAGTGTAATTTGCATTAACAGTCCATGAATAAATAGGAGAGGAAAATGTCTGATAAATAAAAGCATATGGCTGAAAATTTTCTTTTTTTCATTTATAAGGAAGTACTTTTCATGTAGAACCAGTATATTTCTAGCTTGTATACCTTACTGTGCGTAGCAGTGGCACGGCATGAAATTTGTAACTGGTTACTTAGTCAGTTCCCATTTAGCTGATCTATAAAAACTTTGTCAATGCACCAAGAAACATCCGGTGAAAATGAAACTGTGTGAAATAACTGAACCAAAAATTACGTGTGTCACATTTTAATAAGCAATGGTGTCTAATTATGGGAGAATATGTACTTACTTGCCAAGAGCAAAGCACTCCATCTTAACGGTAGTTCCCTTAGCAGCTGTAACTGTATATGGAAAATGGACCTCAATTTTTGGCTCGTATTCCCCCATCACACCTGGGAAATAAAGAATGGTTTTTAAAAGTGTTAAAAAAATATTCACTAATTCTCTCCAAGCCTAAAGATTTCATTGTGCAAACCACTGTTGTATGCTTGTTAGTACCTATATGGGGATTAAGCTTGTGATGGACAGAGATAATTTAAATAATTTGACTTCCTTTGTTCAAATTCTATTCCTACATTAAAATATGAGATGGTGACTTCAAAGGTATTAAAACCATATCACTTTATACAAGCAAAGACTTATTTTCTCAAATATGCTTTGAAAATGTATAATTAAAAACATTAAAATGTACATTCAATATTGCAGGTTTGAGAGTCTACATATACTGTAACTTTGCCAGTTACTGATGGAGTATAACTTAGACTGATAAATCAACCAGAATCTTAAAAGCTGTCTTCTTAATAACCAGACATTTTATGCCCTATTCTATCAAGAACATTTTCACTTTACTAAAAAATGTTCAAATATTGTGAAAGCATGAGTGTCACATAGAAAAAAGAACAATATTTACACACACAAAAAAATCAAGCCCCAAAATCCTCCTCACAGTTGGGATGCACGTACATTTATTTATTTATATTTTAGGTCCCAACAACATACTTAGTTAAATTAAAATAATCCAATAAACACATTCATCACTCTTAAAAATATAAAGAATGAATCAGTGGAGTTATTCTAGATTTGCTCTTGGGTAACTGACAGTCTTGGAGAACTGGTGGAGTTTATACATTAAAGGGAGAGAGATTATATAAAGTGAAGTGAGGAGGTTGATTTGATGAGTATCAAAGAGCAGAGCTCTCGTATTCAGACTGGAAAAATAATCCAGTGTTAGCAGAGGTGATTTGGTTAGGCTAGAGATGAGGTAGCATGTATACATTAGATATGGAGACCAAACAGCAAAGTCACATTTGCCAAACTAAGATTTGAGCATGGCCCGTACAAAGCTCTTGGGGAAGGGCAATTGATGAAAAGTTGAGTTTGGATGAAATTCAATAGTCAACCAGAACAGAAATAAAGGACTGGTCAAAAGCCCATTAAAATCAATGGATAGGATCCCACTCAAATTCAGTGGGGGTATGAAAGCAACAGAAAAAAGGAAGAGAAAAAGAAATGGGGGAAGAGAAAGTGATGGGAGAGTGGGAAAGAAAAGAAACAATGCTAACCATGGAAACCAGAGACTAACCCTTACAGTGGAAATGGAAAGAATATAAGTGGTAGGAGTTGGTTAGGATGACCAACAGTCTAGCAAGCAGATCTAGGATTTATATGAGAACCCATCTGCTAATATCACTGTGAAGATTCACAATGGAGGTCAAGGGGATACATTTGGGATTTCCTGCAGCTGCAGGGAGCTATTATTGAGAAGTTCCCTTCTGCTCCCAAGGATTTGTCTCTGTCTGGGAGGCCGTGGTTTATTTCCCTTCACCCAAGCGGAATCAGGCTAGAGAGAGGTGAGGTTAACAAAATATTTTTTTCCATCAGTAATTGCTGATTAGCCAAATGAAAAGATGCATGAAATGCACAGGCTTTAATCAAACTTTTGTTAGGAAAATTTTACAAATCAAGGAGAGAATTTCCAGTCAAGAGGAGAGAAAAAATGACAACCCCAACTATCCATCAAAGCTATGAGAAAAGCCAAAAGCTCAGTTACTCAAGCACTTATGTGATCCCTAGGAGAGCTTGGTTTAAGCTGCTGCTCTACCAAACCACTAAGCTATAGAATATATTTTGTTTGATGCATATTTATTTGTACAGAATGGAAGATTTCCATCAGGAATGACTCACTGGGTAGATATGCAGAGCAGAGACTTGTAACTAAGGGCATATACACAAGTGTAGGCAGCCTGTTGTGGACGTGCTCTAACTCAGGGTGCTTAACACAAAACACCACAAGTTAGGGCACCACTGAACCCAACAGGAAATGGAGCCCCCTGCATCATGGGCCTGGCCCAGTTCTTCCCTAAGATCCCAGCAGGGGTAGCCAGGCTGGGTCCATAAGGTAGGGGGGGCTCCATTTCCTGCCCCCAGCCCAGGATGCCGCTGTCAAGATGCTTGTGTATGGGGCAGGGGGAGGAAGTAAGCCCCCCACACCCCATGGGCTCAGCCCAGCTCCCCCAGGACCCTGGTATAATAGCTGGGATGGGCACATATAGCAGGGAGGCTTCCTTCCCCCCACAACCTCCACTGCTCAGGGAGGAGAGAGGTTTTATGTCTCATCTCTACGACAGCCCTGGGGATGGGTCTAAGCTGGTGATTGCTCAGGCAAGCACCCCTCCATTCTGCAAGGCAGCATGGGATGCGGGTAGAATTGCTGAAAATAACCTTTGTAGGGTACCCGTATGCAGGTTCCCTAAGGCCAGGGATGGGCAAAATACAGCCTGTGGGCTGGATCTGACCCACCAGGCCATTCTATCCAGCCCATGGGGCTCCCTAAAAATTCAGAAAGTTAATATTTATCTGCTCCTGGCTGCCTGTCAAAGATGACCCAGAAGAACCGGCAAGAGCCAGCAACAAGGTCGTCCAGGCCCCGCCCCCCAGCCCAGGGAGGGGGGGGTGTTTATATGTGCGTGGGTGGGTTTATGTGTGCATGCAGTGAGGGAGGGGGAGAGACAGTGTGTGTGTGTTCATAGGTCAAGCCCCACAAGCACACACTACCACATATGCAGACCTCCACACTCATACCCCCTCACACATCACAGCCACCCTCCCCCACACACAACCCCCCCACTCCACACCCCCTCAAACACACAGCCACCCTCCTCCACACACAGCCCCCACACCCCAAATATCCACATACACACACCCCCACATGCTCCCTCACCCCACATCCCCACACCATTCCCTCCACAAACACCCCATACACTCAAATCCTCTCCCACAGCCCACATACCCACAGCCCCCCACTCCCCATGCCCCCCACAGTATACAAGAGTAAGACTTCATTTTAAGCTCACCTCTGTGTACACTATACAAACACATGTAAATTAGGACAAAAATATTTTTTGAAATCAAATTAATGAAGTTGCTGTTTAATTTTTAGAATATAATTTGGTATTTTTCTGGTTCTGAGATGGCAAACCCTCTTGCTGAAATGAGTTCTTCTGGGGGCAAGGGGAGGGACTTCTGGTGGCAAAGGTTGGGGGTTGGGGGCAGGACTTCCAGTCCCAATATGGAGACTGGGGGCAGGGGGAGGGGAGAGCACCTGTCAGGGGACAGGGCTACCCATGTGGCCCTTAACAGCTTGTTGAAACTCAGTAAGCGGCCCTCCGCCCAAAATAATTGCCTGCCCCTACCTAGGGTGCTCCACCTTAGCGTGCTCCTGTCTGATACTTCATCATAGCAGGGTTAAATTTTTGCATGATCAGCCATTTTAAAAGCACTCTGCAGCCATGAATGTTTGGTATGTTAGAGCTGTAGAGTGCTTTCAGGGGCCTCATTGCATGAAAAAATGTAACTTCTGTAAGTGGCTAAAGCTTTCTAAAGACCAGTTGAATAGTGTAAACACTGGTATAGTGGCTAATGTAGTGGTGAGTGGTTTTTGGTCTAAGACCCTTTCTGTCCCTTTCTTCCTTTCCCCTTTTACTACAACCTGCTTCTCCCACCCCACCTTCTCCCCTCCCCTCAACAAAATTAAAAGGGTTTCATTTTCATTCTATCCAAAATTAAAACAAATGACAAAACTTCAAGTTTTTGACAAAACAGAAAATTTTCTGGCTAAGTCCAGTGCAGAAGGCAGGTGTCTCTGCTGTGTGAATATATATATATTTATTAACTGCCTTAGGGAATGTGACTTTAAATTCATCTTTGGGAAGTTTAATATTAGCTAGGATAGTTAGATACAACACATATAGGAAAAGAAAAGGAATGAAAGTAGAATGGAAAATATCGTATGGAATATATATATAATATATTTTAATACACAAACATAGAGACACACTTCTATCAAAATAAAGAAACTAATAATTTAGAGGTATAACATTTTTGAATACCCACTCTCCAGACTATTGATTTCATAAATAATGTTGGCTGAAATAATAATGATGTGTTGATTCTTATTAAGAGTTTTTGCATAAAACATCTCACCCTTGCCCTGTATTCTTTTGAAGTCCACAAACCAAACAGGTCTGCGTCAGATCAGTGCCAATACACAGGCAATGCAGGAGCTGCTGTTGATTATACATTCTGGTGTCTAAATCAGTATTAAATAAATACCCTGGCAGGATTTTATGGGACACTGAGCTTGGAGAAACACTGTTTCTTGACTCTGATATAAAGTCAAGGCCATGACCACCTGCAATGATTAAAGATGAAGTAATATTTTTTTTCCAAAAATAGTCACTAATCCTGGTATTTTGGTCAAAATCAAAGCAATTAAATTCTACCCAAGACCTCCCTGCATTTATGATTCTTTTTTCCTAAGCTGTTGTACTGTTTTATGCTATTAAACAATTGAGGTGTTTCTCCTCTGAAGCAGTTGAATTAAAAAAAAAAAAGAATGACATGATTCTTGTTCCTAATTTATACAGTGTTCAGGAAGAACTGAAATTGAAGATACTCTCAGTCAAATCAGTTTCAGTTCTTTACTCGGGTAAACACTAACTAGTTCATACCCCCTGTGTAAATATAAATATCAAATACTCTATTCATGACACATTCATTTCATGGTCCTCATGAGATGCTGATTTCCTAACATTTTGTACTTTGTCATGTTATTGTGAACTATTTTATGGTTCAATATTGCAGGAACTGACAGCAAGATATAATACAAGTGTTCGGCAATCACTTGGTCTCTAGACCATGGCAAGACTACTCATGTAAGAAGGTTGGGGAGAAAAAAGAAAGTCTATTATTTTAACACCATATTTTTTATTTTTATTATTTATGATCTCAGAATTCAGGAAGGTTACTATATTTGTCTGGGCATCAAGGGCAAATTTCTCAATGCCTTGCCTCCCCCTACACGTAATGACTTTGAAATACCCGGTGTATGTCA